GAGTCCAACATTGAGCTATGGGGTTTCAGATTTTCCATTTTTATCTTGGGTAACAAAAGCTATATATTGCTTTCAAAGTATTCCATTAGCTCGCTATCTCAAATTTTCACCTACTGTGCTTTTATCATTCAGCTTTACAATTTTGCTATTCTTATTATCACTTCCTATTTAACCTGAGGGTTATTTCATAATGTGTCTTTTCATTTCCAAACATACGGGATGTTTTTGCTATCTTTCTGTTAATGATGACTGATTTTAAAGCACTGTAGTTAGAGAAAAGAATCTCTATAATGTTGATTTTTTTTTTAGAATTTGAGGCTTCCTTCCTGATCCATTAAAAGATGAAGCTCGTGCCTAATCCACTTACCCTCCAAAATAAAATATATTCTGCATTTGTTGGGTAAGAAGTACTATATACATGGTAGATCAAATTCATTAATTGTTATCCAAATCTTCTCTTTTTCTGCTTACTTTTTGTCGCATTGTTTCATCAGTTTCTGAAAAGACCAGATTTCTAACTACAATTACTTGATCAATGTCAAATGCCATAAATTCCTGCTTTCTATATTATTGCATGTACATATGTTGCTGCTTGCTTTATTCCCTGATCTATTGTTCCTTTTTCTTTTTGTCTGTATTTGACAAGTGTAACTTTTTCCATCCCCTTAATTTCAACCTGTGTCCTTTCAAATTTTTTGTTGTTGTTGTTGCTGTTTTTGGTGAGGAAGATGGGCCCTGAGCTAACATCTGCGCCAATCTTCCTCTGTATATGGGATGCTGCCACAGCATGGCTTGATGAGTAGTGGGTAGGTCCGTGCCTGGGATCTGAACCTGCAAACCCTGGGCTGCTGAAGCAGAGCGTGCAAACTTAACCACTACACCACCAGGCCGGCCCCTCAAATGTTTTTTATAACAAATATATTCTAGCATTGCTTTCTATCCATTGGACAGTCTGTCTTGATTACTTTAATGCCCATATGTTTATGCCAATTATTCTTTGAGCTTACGTGGAACATCCTATTTCATCTCTTTGTTTTACTTTTTTCTCCTTCCTACCTTCCACTGGCTAGATGAAGTTTTTCCTGTGGGTATGAAAATTATATATTCTATTTTATTTCAGTAGTGGTTATTCTTATTACAATCCATACTAATCCTCAATTTCTCCATCAATATCTAAAAGCTGATCAATATCTATGTACTCAGTATATTCTTACCAAGGATTTCTTTCAGATCTCATCCCCCATCCTCCCTATGTCCAATTTCTGATGTGTTGAAATAATGTTGTATTATAATTTCAAATAGTTATTGATATGCTGGCTTTGGTTATGTGCTTTTTGGGGGGGAGGGGGCCACTGCCTACTCCAGCAATCATATTTTTCATTTATCTTATTGACAAAGTTCTACAGACATCCCCCTCACGGGCAGCAATGGGCTCAGCACTACTTCCTCTTTTGATTTTTAGCTTCCTCTTTGATTTTTGGCCCCTTTTTTCAAAGCTCAACTACACCTTTCAGTGAATATTTGTGTATTTTATACAGCATTTCAAATTATTTCTTAGTGGACAATTTTCTGATTATGTACCCTATCACATTCTTAGAAACTAAGACTTGCTTATTTACATAAAAATCACTAAATTCCCTACTTGCTCTTATTTATTGCATTTCATTTCCTCCTCCTGGATTCATTTTTTTTTTTTTTTTTTTTTTTTTTTGCTAGAATACGTTCTCTAAAATTACTTTCTGAGAGGGTCTATGTGTGGAAAACTGAGATATTATACAGGATGATATCTTTATTTTACTCTCGCACTTAAATTAACCAGAAATAAAATCCTAAGCTTAAAGTTCGCTTGTTTCAATACTTTGAAACTATTATTCCTTTGCCCTCTCACATTTTAGTGTTGCTATGGAGAAAAGTCCACTGACAATCAGATTCCTGTTCACTGGAGGAGGATAGAGTTTTTACCTCAAAATTGTCAGAGTTTTGTTAAGGGTCTAAGTATAGGACTGTGCATTAGTTTCTGAGGGCAGCAGTAATAAATTATCACAAACTCGGTGGCTTAAAACAACAGGAATTTATTTTCTCACAGTCCTGGAGGCTAGAAGTCTGAAGTCTGAAATCAAGGTGTTGGTAGAGCCAGGCTCCCTCTGAAGACTCTAGGGTAGAATTCTTCCCTGCCTCTTCCCAGCTTCTGGTAGTTGCCAACAACCCTTGGCATTCCTTGGCTTGTAATGCATCACTCTAATCTCTGCCTCCATCTTCATGGAGCCATCTTCTCTGTGTGTGCTCTCTTCTTCTTATGAAGACATAAGTCATTGGATTAGGATCCACTCTAATCCAGTATAACCTCATTTTAACTAACCACTTCTGCAAAGACCCTATTTCCAAATAAGGTTAATTTCTGAGGTTCTTTTGTGGGGGGACATTATTCAACCCACGACAGACTACTTTCCTGATTCCTTTTGTTTGGTGGTCTGTTAACTGTTTCTATATGAGGTCTTCATTTTTCATTGCATTCTTTATATTCTTGGTCATTATTTCTTCAAATATTCCCTGACCTCAGTTTACTTCTCTGCCTTTCAGGGATTCTATAGAACATTTCTATTCATTCTCCCTTTCAACTCTTTTCTTAGTCTTCTCATGTTTTTATTTCTTCCTGATGCCATTTGGGAGACAGCGTCAATCCATCTGACTGACTATATTCATTCTGATATTCATCCACCCATTAAGTTAGTTCCTAGTGTTACATTTTAGGCTTATTTCCCATTTCTCCTCTACCCGAGGCTACCCTTCCTCTCATTCCTCTCCTTCCCAGGCACCACTCTTGCCAATGAGCTAATATATTTCTATTACATTTCTTCTCATGAGTTTAGCCTGGCAACAATTTGAAATGTTGACTCTCTTCTGACCTCCACTGTTCCTTCCCTTTTGACATTTCCATATAACTCAAACTACCCTTTGTTGAGAGGAAGCATGAAGAGGTGGAATTAGAGTTCAAAGCACACGCACTTGAGTGTTGGCTCTGCCACTCCCTGATCTTCAGCAATTCACTGAACTTCACACCCTCAGATATTTCATCTGAAAATAGCGGATGACAGAGTATGTAAAGCACATCTCACTACGTCTATCACATGACATTGGCACCCCTAAATGGTTATATCTCCTTGCTCAAATCCAATTCTGCCTTTCTTTAATTGTGGTAAAATTCTGCCCATTTGTGCTGCTAGCAGACATGCTTCCTCAAGTTTTACTTTCAGCGGAGAAGAAAAATACTCCAGGAACTATAAAAGGAACAAAAAGTAGAGAAGAGTGTAAGAGCCAATATTGCGTGATGGAAAGATTTCTACATCTCCAGGATCTGAAATTGTCTGTAAGGCTGAGATGAATATTAAATATTTTCCTCTCACATAAAAATGGCAGAAAGCAATTTTATTTTAGCTTAAAATAAAACAAGGCGGCTGGATGTACCAATATTCTGTTGAATTCTCAGGAGAAAATCATCTCCTTGGATCTGTTTCTTAATAAATATGGAGATGATGGCTTCTGGCATCCAGAGAACCAAGTACTGGGTTAGGGACCTCAGTCTAAGGTTTAGGCCTTAGACTTAGTAGTGGGCTTTAGGTAAGACAGAAATAGAAAAGACTAGGTTCACTCCAGAAACAGTACTGAGGCTTGCATGTGTCTCTTTATAATCAAACAATGGAAGTATGTTAACAAACACTAAAGTTTTATGTTTTTAGCTAATAAACTTTTTAATTTGTATTCCTTAGTAATAACTTATTTTACTTTGAACTAAAAATATGTGACTTCAAGGTATAAAATGAGTCTCCATTTCCTATCTTTTCAGCTATGAAAGTTATTTGTACTCTCCCTTGATCTCTTTACCTTCTATAACATATCTCTACCTCCTATAACCTATCTCTGCCTCTCTATCTCCTCTAATTCTCACCAGCTAGCAGCATCACATTATTTTTAGAACTCTGTCTTCAAAATTTAGTAAACAGAAAGGAAGTAATAAAAAGGTCTCTACAGTTGACTCGGTGGATTTGATCAGTCATTTTTTCGTTAAGGCTAGATCGGCAACCTAATTTGTAGTGGAAAAAGGTTCAATGGCCACAAAAGCAAATGCTCCAAAATGTGAAATTTTGCAACCATTTACAACAGGAGATGACAATAGCTCACTTCAGGCTAGATCAGTTTTCTTCCTGGTTTGCTTTCAAATGATATGTTAACGTCCAACTAAAATAAGTGCCATATGCTTCTAACCTTGCCCTAAAAAAGAAAAAAATCAATTCTAGAATTTGAGCGGAAAGGACCTAAGAGATTACTTAGATCCAGTCCTTTCATTTTAGAGAGGTCGAGTAAGTCTAGCAAGTCAACTGGTTTACTCAAATTCACTCTGAACCTTAGAGAGTCTCCTTTAGAGGATACTACTTATAGAAGATACTATTTAAAAATTTCTCGAACTTGGGAATTTAGGTCTTCAGGGACCCACTTTCGGAAACACTAAATTAAAAATAATAGTCACTTTAGGGGATCCATTGGTGCCAAAATCATATGGCAGTACTCTCTTAGAAGACGGTGACTCAGAATATATACCTACATCTATTATTTTCATATTATTTCATCAAATGGAGAACACAAAATATAACCCCCTTTCTGAAAATCTTAGGACCCTTCAAAACCCAAGAACACAAGTTTGAGAAACTCGAGACTTTAGCAAATGTCCCTAATGGCCATGCTCATGAGAAAGCAAAATCCTAACCAACAGACTACCACAACCCCATTTCATAATTACTCTCTCCCTTTTCCCTACAGGGAATGATTTCTTTGGGACAAATGGAAAGTCTGATAATTTCCACAAGCAATACAGTAGGCTGGCTACTCAAAATGTGGTCTGCTGATCAACAATATCTGCATCACCTGAGAGTTATTAGAAATGCAGATTCCCAGGCCCCACCCCAAATCTGCTGCATCAATCTGTATTTTAACAGGATTCCCAGGTGTGGTGTACACACATTAAAGTTTGAGAAGTATTTCCCCAGAGCACTAGTTCCCAAGCTAGGTTTATTGAAATTATCTTAGGAGCTTTCTAAAACAATAGATTCTTAACAATAGGATTCTCCCTCCAAGCCCAACTCTAGCAGAACCTCTGGGATGACGAGGTTAAGAACACAGCTCTAGGGTTAGTCTATGAAATGAGGATAGCCATAGTACCTTCTTCTCAAGCATACATGTAAAGCATTTAATAAGTATTTGATAAATGCTAATCATCATATTGTTGTTAGTATTTTACCCTGGCAAAAAGTAATGCCAAATTTTATTCAATAAACAGTTATTAATTATAGACTAATACATAAGTTAATATCAGTAAGTTGGTTGGAAGAGAGCTTGTCAAATGGTATACAATTGTCAGTTAAAATTAAAAAATAAAATCATACTTTGGCATGTCCTGCCATTAGATGATTGCTAACGTCTCTATATTAGAGGTAGAGCAGTGCCAGTTCAAAAGCAGCATCTGATTAAACAGAAATAATAGCTAACTCTTATTCCATACTTTCATCATCCTAAGCAATTTCTATATAATGACTTAATCCTCCTGACAACCCTACGAGGAAGGTCCTTCATATATCAACATTTATGCATCTCTTTGATTACTTCTCATGAGTCAATTCTTAGATTTGCGAATCACTGTGTTCAAAGGATATTCAAAGAAGGTTCAAGAGAACATTCAAGTCTCTTGATACGTGATGCTAAAAATCTCTCAGAAAACATTTCTAAAAACTTACATTCAAAAGTAGTATAGGGAGAAGGCCCATTTCCCCATAACTTTGTCAGCACTGGGCATTCTCTGATTCTCCAAACCTCTAATAAAATTTTTCATTACTTAGGAATATAATGTAGGGGGAAATAACTTCTTCTACCTATCCCAGCTAAAACAATCTGCCATGAAAACTGACATCTCTTAGGCAACTAAGAAGCCAGACATGATGAAAAAGAAATACTGTTCTTTTGGTTAAAAGAATGAAAAACTTGTATTTTCTTTTACTTTGAAAAATAAATGTGTTATTCCCTTATGGCTGGGGGTGATAGGATTTACTTTAAAAATAATCTGCTATTTTTATATCCTAACATGACTCAGCAAACGGCAGGAATCTAGACCAACCCTACAGAGCATGACCAATCCTCTTCGGGGGTCATCAGAAGAAGCCATACTGCAAATAACTACAGACACTTCCACCAACTGGTAAATATGTTTCTATTTCAATTCACTTCATTTAAAAACTGGGGGCTCAAATGTTAGCCAAAAATGTAAATGGGCTTGAAAAGCTGCTGGCTAATACATCCCAAGACTAACCTTAACAGGAAAAATGTCCTGTCATCTGAGGAACAACACACTTGCAGCTGGCCAGGATCTCAAACACATTTTATTGATGACTTGGAAAACAATCAAGGTACATAAAGGGATAGCTGGTGACATACAGTTCGGTTTAGATGATTTATAAAACATTCTAAACTTACAGACATATGTCAAAATTCCACAGGAGACAATGTAAGACTATCCCACAAGATGATGACAAGAAGAACAAAGAGAAGGAGAAGACAGCCCAAAGTGTCTTGGAATTCAAGCAAACAAGTGTACCTCTAACATTTTTATACAAAGAAAAAAACAATTTTTAGTAAAGCATATTAAGTCATCAACCTACAGTGTCACTAAAGAACATTTTTCAATTGTTAACAACTCAAAAAAAATACTGAAGCTCAGCTATTTATAAACAAGAAACACATAGGTATTTCAAAATGTCAACTGCTTTTTCAAGATCTCCCTTCAGCAGGTACCTCTCCTTTTGCTCTCTCCCCTGTCACTTTAATGTTTTGCAACTTTTGCTGGTTTAGCATCTCTTATGGAACTCTCAATGATTCCTTTCCTTTCTCCTACAATGATTCTCAGGGATTGCCTACACTGAAATCATCTTCCCTTGAATTGGTTGCTCATTAAACTCTAATCAGTTATTTATTCATTCAACAAATACTTATTATATACTTGCCATATTCTAAATACTATTCTTGTGGTAAACATGCCAGACCAGGCCCTTAACTCTCATGGAGCCTTCTAGGTACATGGGGAGGAAGAACGGTAAGTGGTGGAGACCACAAAGCAGTCAACAAGCAAAACTATTTCTGATTGTGATTCGAAGGAAATAATCAGGGTGCAAAAACAGGTAGTGACTTGGAGGGGATGGAAGTGACTGGTTTAGCATCAATGGAAAGGGAACCTAACATCTGATCTGGGACTTGATGAGAAGGCCACTGTATGTGAGTGTCTGGGTCCAGAAGGTTCCAAGTGGAAGAAAGAGCAAGTGCCAAGGCAAGAATGAGCTCAAGGTCTTAGATGAATGGAAAGACCAGTGGGACAGTGGAGTCTGAGAGTAGGAAGCAAGACAAAAAGGTGAGGAAAAAGTCTGCAAGATAGGTAGGGACCAGATCTTTATTGTGGTACATTAAAATCATCTCAAGAGCTTAAAAAAAAAAAGTACTCCCCATGCCCCATTCCCATGCACTTTTTCCTAAGATTTTTAAAAAATGAGATACAATTCACATACCCTAAAATTCACCCTTTTGAAGAGTACATTACAGTGGTTTTCAGTGTAATCACAAAATTGTGCAATCACCACCACTAATTCCAGAACATTTTCATCACTAGAAAAAGAAACCCCATTTCCCCCTCCCCGTAGCTCCTGGCAATCATTAACCTACTTTCTGTCTCTATGGATTTGCCTATACTGGACATTTCAAGTAAATGAAATCATATAATATGTGGCCTTTTGTGTCTGGCTTCTTTCACTTAGCATAATGTTTTCAAGGTGCATCCATGTTGTAGCATGTATCAGGACTTCATTCTTTTTGAAGGCTGAATAATACCTCATTGTATGTTTATGCCACATTTTTTTAATCTATTCATTAGTTGATGGACATATGGGTTGTTTTTACTTTTGGCTATTATGAATAGTGCTGCTATGAACATTCAGGTACAAGTTTTTGCATGGACATATGTTTTCAATTCTCTTAGGTATACACCTAGGAGTGGAATTGCTAGGTCATATGGAAACTCCCTATTTAACTTTTTGAGGAACTGCCACACTGTTTTCTTTAGCGACTCCACCATTTTACCTTACTACCATTAATGAACAAAAGTTCCAATTTCTCAACATCCTTACCAACAGCCTACTTCCAGATATTTTAACTTAATGGGTCTTGCTGAGACCCGGGCATCAGAGTTTTTTTGGATTTTCCGTTTGTTTGTTTTTAAGAGTCCCCGTGGTAATTCTAACGTGCAGTGAGCATCAAGAACGCCCTACTCTTGCTTATTCACTGCCAGCTTCCTGACAAGTAATTACACCTACTCCCTGTACTGCCCCAGAGCTCTCTGGACGTGTTACATCCTTGCCACCATACCACCTACCAATAACAATATCAGCTTTATAGCTGATTCATCCAATGAGAAAATGAAATACAAATAAGGAAGACATAACTTTATATTTGTAATATATATAAACATATTTACATAATCATAATATATAGCCTTACATTTACATAATTATAATATATAGCCTTAGACTATAACTGTAATAGTCATTTATTTTCAAATAGTGAGTACACATATAAAAATATTTAAAAATTATTTGTGTGTGTACATGTACATAGGGAAATCTAGAAATTAATGATGATTTTCCTCTGAGAAAATGAGTTTGGAATCAATTCTATTGTCTTTTCTGCATACTTTTATTGTCTACCATGACCAGGCACTGGAGAAGCTATTTGAAGGGATTATTTTCAAGTGTCCTTGGGTAATGTGAATTGCCTACCCCCTTCTCCCACTGATCCACTGGAGACTTGTTCTTCAAAAAGAACCCACCTATGAAAAATATTTGCTCCTGAATTTCTTTTCATATAGTAAAGAAAGACATAAGGAATGAATGGATGAATTCTATGTGTTTTACACTTCAGCCTGACCTTGAGTATTAAACACAGTACCATATGTGCAAAAATATATAAAATTTAGAATTATATCATTTAAAAAAATGTTTCCTGCCAAGCTAAACACAGATGGAAGGTCTGTAACACCAGCATTGAGGCCTAGAACCATTTAGAAAATCAACAGTCTACGTTTGTAGATAACAAGCTCAGGTGGGAAAGATAGAAGCCTGAATAAAAAGGAAGGTTTCTAAACTGAAGGACAGAGTACAGCACGACTTCTCAGTCTGATGGAGGCTGACATTCCTCTTAACAGTAAAAATAACCCTAAACCATATCTTCTTATGGACTGCAATAGCAGGGGGGAACTTACAGGTTATGATGTTAAAACAATACTTAAGGAAGAGAATTATAGGTTGAAAAATCATCTTAATGTCATGTATCCTTCTGGAGTACCCAAATTTTCCACTGCATTCCTACCTATACTATACTCTTTACATAGTCATAAAAGATTCATAAGAGTTCATTTCTATGGCCTGGATGATAACATGGGCTGGATAGATATGTGGGGAAGTCAACTCAGAACCGGTGTCAAAAGCTTGTACAATAAATCTAAACGAACTGTGGTCTAGAAGCAGAAACCACATGTTAGCATCCCTTTATCAGTGCACAGGCCTCTCAGAGGTTAAGAGACACTAGGGGTCTTTTGCTTCTTTTCTTAAGGCTTCTGGCATGTTAAAAGGAAAAAAAATGAAGTATCAAAGCAAAATTACCTAAATTGCATTATATTTTAAACATTAACATTGAACAAGTTAAAGCTCTCAATGCAAATGAATACAAGAAAATGATTACTATTCGGCACACAAGAAAAATGATTCCACCATTTTTTGGACTAATGTGAAATACCTGGATTTTTGTGGCAAAGCAACACCATTCCTAGATTTTTGCTAAAATGGAATAGTAAGGCTAATTACAGTGTCAATTATAGCTATGTGTCACTCATAATCTATAGATAGACACACTTCTACTTAA